TTCTTGTTCTATTACCAGAGCCTGCTCAGGACCCACCAGAGTGGGAATGACCCCGTTGAAACGAGGCGGAGGAGAACCAAACTGGATTCTGTAGCCTCTTTCTACAGTGTGCAGGACCCACTGAGACACATTTGGCACAAGTTTCCACACTGCCAAATAGTCTACTAAGGGAATCAGTCTCTCAAGACTGACCTCTGGTGTAATCAGAGCGGCTAGCTCGGTGCCCTGAAGTGGCGGACTGGCAGGGGACGGCTGAACTAGCTGCTCTAGAGACCTTCGAAGAGGTAGCAAGCCTCTCAGTACCGCTACGTTTCCGGGCGGAGACTGAGAGAAGTGCTTGCCGGAGACCGCTGTGCCCTGAAGCACCATGGGTGGCAGGGTTGGCAGATCGATCTCCTGAGGGCAGTGAGGAGAGACAGGCACCCCGTATAATGAGGTGTACACTGCTCTTCCCCAGAGGGGCCTGCCCTCAGAAGTCCTGAGCAATGGGCACCAGGACTTTCTTTTGGCCGAAGTCTCCTATTGAAAATGACGGTCCTCAGACCCGTCATCTCCTAGGAAGACTTAGACTGATAGAACCAGACCCTGCTCGGGGCAGGACCCAATGAGACACGTTTAGCAGGGGCTCCCACACCGCCAGGTGACCTACTAAGGGAACCAGTCTCTCGAGACTGGCCTCTGGTGTACTTAGAGCGGCCAGTTCGGTGCCCTGAAGCAGAGGACCGGCAGGGGATGACCGAACTAGCTGCTCTAGAGACCTCCTTCAAGGTAGCAAGCCCCCCAGAACCACTACGTTTCCGGGCGGACACTGAGAGTTGCGCTCGCTGGAGACCGCTGTGCCCTGAAGCACCGGAGGTGGCAGGGTTGACAGACTGATCTCCTGATGGCACTGAGGAGAGACGGGCACCGTATAATGAGGTGCACACCATTCTTCCCCAGAGGGGGCCAGCCCTGGGCCATAGGAGTCAGGACGTTTTAGCCGAAGACTATACAGCGAGAATGATGGTCCGCAGATCCGCCTTCTGCTAGAAGCCTTCGGCACGGGAGCGTCACTCTGACTCCAAAATTCTAAGGAGTGTGAGAAGTGACGCTCCCTGAACAAGGTGCTGGAACATGGCTGGGGCCTCGGAGGAAGAAAGGTAAACACCGTGCTCTCACTCGAGAATTTTATCCCAAGAGCTCGCTGTATAGAGAGTATATATATATATATATATATATATATATATAACTTCTCAAAGCTAGATGAATATACATCATTTAATTCCTCAGAATTAAATGCAGTCAAACAACCAGACAAGTAAACACGGTCTGGTGTGAAAAGATTCATATCAAAACCGAAAATTATGTAATGCACGCGTTGCCACTCTTCGGAGAAAGATAGCAGCAGCAGGGAGCTCTCACTCAGAGAGGGAAGAAACCGCAGCGCGGGCTTCCGAACCTCGAGAGAGAGCGCTAGATCTAGGGAACGCGCGTGGAGATAGGGAGAGCCCGTCTCCAACCCATCCGCCAGATCATGTGCGATCCCCGCGATCTCGATCGCCGCCGT